AAAAATTAAAATATCAAGAAGTATTATTAAATGAAGTTAATTAGTTTTCATTCAAGTCCATTCTATGAGTAAAAAAACAAAAAATAAAAACTTCTAAGGCCCACTGAATCATCAAACGATATTAAAACAAAAGCCCACATTCATTCATATCGATTTCTACGCCCATTCAATCCCGTTACATGGATTCAATCTCTAAAAGGCCTTTTTCTATTTAAGCCCATCTCAATAAAACCAAATGGATCTGGGCTCACGTACACATTCACATGAAAATCTTGAAGCTCCAAAAGCACATGCACAAACTCCTGAACATGCAAATTCATATCTAGAGACAACTTGCAGCACAAAACAATTCTATGTCATGCAAGGATGCATCATCAAATGCTTTCCTCCTATTCAAAAAATGAAAATTTAACCTGACATGCATAAACAGACCAAAGTGTAGACCTCAACAACAAATGTTCGATAAACATGCTTTGTGCTAAAAAATCATGATTAACATGGTTAAAGGGCTTATTATCAACAATTTAAAATCAACAACGTATTTGGATAGGTGGGTGATATTTAAATTTATTGACATAGTTAAAAATGCTAAATAATCAAACGATCAACATATGAAATAGGCAAAAATATGATAGAAGGACCCAAACTTATACAAAATTTGTAATTTCAAACCCAAACTTCAATTATGCTCAATTAAGGTCCCAAACTACATGAAATCCTCAAATAAGATCCCAATTAGATGAAATATTCTCTTGATAGATGGAATATTCTCTTGTCAACAAATATCTTGGATGTTCGTTAACAGTCCATCACTCTTTCAGTCAACTGGATTGCCATGTGGAAAAGCATGTTGACTTGTCATTGCCATGTGGATGCCAAGGTGAGTCCCAGTTGATTTTGAGGGAAATCAAGCTAAGGAGAATTCATGTGGTACCACATGGCATCCACGTGGCAATGACATGTTAGCATATTTTCCATGTTGGCAATTCAGTTGGTTGAATAGTTAACAGCATCCAAGACATTTGACGACAAGAGAATATTCTATTCAAT